TTATGTATTAGAAACTTAGTCCCCACCCTGACTGTTAAGAGGGTGGGAAATCCTATTATGGAAATTGAAGGGTGGAGACTTGAAGAGGTGATTGGATTGTAGGACCATGCTGTAGTGAATGGATTAAAAGTGGTGGTCAGGGGCATGGTTCTGAGGGCTTTAAGAGAAGAGAGAGGAGATTGTTTCTCTCTCTCTCCTCTCTCTCTCTCTCTCCTTTCTCTGCTTCCACCATCTTGCAATGTGAGACCCCTGGGGCACTGTTGCCACACCCAGATGGACTTTGGATTTCTCAGTCTCAGAAACTGTAAGCTATAAATGTCGTTTTCTTTATAAATCACCCAGTTCCATGTATTCTGTTATAAGCAACATAAACGGACTAATACAGTATTCTTTATCTAAACTTTTTTTTTTTTTTTTGATGCAGAGAGTATAAAATGGTTTGTTGGGAGTTGAGGATATTTAGTTTCCTGTATTGCAGACATTTCTTCTCCATTTAGTGAAATAGGGTTAACTTTTGTTTCTTGTCTAGTATTGGGGCCTGGGATAGATTGGAAACTTTGGGATGTGTCAACTGACTAGGAAAATTATTCCCAATTCCGAGCACGCATAAATCTTAGCTGCTCTTCAGTCTCTTACAGAATGATGATATGGTAAGTACAATGCAGTGCTCTTACCACATTACTCTTCTAAGACTGGAGATACCAGTCACTTAACTTCCAGTTTGGGGAAGAATGCAAAGGGAGAGGTAAAAAAGGCACTGTTGTACTACAAAACAAAAACAGCATCTTTCTGTACTAACTACCCTCTGAAGGTAACACATTAATCCTATCCTCAGTCTGGCAAGGTAGGGAGTAAAAAGGGATAAATCCTCAGTTATTTTTAGGCGCATTTGTTTCACTGGAGCCTTTTGTTGAAGTTTTGAGAGAGAGGGAGAGGGATATACAAGATTCAAGTTTCTCGATACAGTGAGTGTATCAAGAATATAAAAATGTTTGTGAATGAACATGTTTAAACATAGCACCGGGCTATGATTTTTCTTCACGCACACTTCAATGCCTAACTTTTGAAAGGAATTTAGACATAAGTAATATTAAGAATAACATTTTTTTTAAAATTATAGTTTCAGACTCCTTTACAATGCCTTCATGGTGGACCAATTTCCATAGGGGTCTCCCCAAATTACGCATCTCCATCCCAGTCAACAAGAGAGATAGGAAGGAATGCAATCTGCACTTTCGATGTGGGCACAGTGGACTGGAAAGTGGAGTCAGAAAACGTCGATTGCAGTTTGTGTTCTACAACTTGATCACTTGAGTGATGTTTGGCTTCTTGAAAAACTGATAGT